TGTAGCTTTATGTGTGTGGCCCATTAGATTCCTAACTTGTTAGCAATGGAATTGAATCATAATCTTTATTAATTAATTTAAATGAATCATATTCATATTAAATTAATTCAATTCCATAGACTGAGGTTGACATCTAGCAATGTATAATGATCACTCAATTATTAAGAAAGTCAAAAGGTTCTTTGACAACCTTTCAATGTGCAATCTATTAATGTAATTCATTCCCTCAACATATATCATCGAGATGATAAGAGCTTAATGTAATGTCTATTCTTATTGATCTCCATATTTGTTCTTACAGTAAATCATTAGCTTGTAGAACACTTATGAAACTCATTTCATAATCTTCCAATCACCTTGGCCAAGGATTTATTTAAGTTAACATCAGCCAAGAACTAATGAGATATATATCCTTGAATCACTTGGGGTGATGATTCCTATCTTGACTATTCATTTGCCTTAATATGCTTCATGCTATACCTAAAATATCTTGTTTTTACATCCTTGGTAGGACCCATAAGGATGAAATCAAAGTGTAATAGTCCACATATAAGATAATCTAGTGACTCAAGTTTAAGGAGTAGTTACACGATTGACACATGAGAAGTATTGCATAAATACTAGAGTGAGATATTGAATACACTTCTCATGTTAGGTCATGTTTAGTGAACTTGCATGGCAAGCACCCCACATGCTAGTTCCAAGTATTTCTATACTTCAACCTATGAGATTGGTTGCTTACTTCATAAGTAAGGAACATAGCATGTGGCGATCTTTGAGCATTTTGGATGCCTTGTCTCAATAATACAATGATCAGGAACTTTTAAGAACAATACTTTGATACATAAATATCTCATAATTGTACCTCAATACAATTTATTTGCAAGACACATATAGTTCCATGAGCTTTATTTATATAAGTCTAAGTAGTAATGAAATTACAAACTTCAATGTTATTATAAATAACAAAATATCATACATGTATATCTCAAATTGTGATTCCCATACAACCATAGATTGTCTTGTAGGGCTTATACTAACAACGTGGTGATATAGTTGGTAAAGACACATGTGTTCAAAAAGAATAAGTTTGGCAGACCTACTACTTATGGAAAGACAAAACATAAAAATTAAGAGAATAAGTTTTATATACAGAAAAGTGTTAGTATCTTTTTTTTCTACATTTATAAAAATTTGAACTTTAATTATAAAAAAAAGATATACTCATCTTTAACTTTATTCACTAGAGTGGTGCCCATGTGATGTGCTTGGATAACTTATTTAATTCTTTGAAAAAGAAAAAAATGAAACGGTAAGATTTTTATTTAAAAGTCATAGAAGGTAATGTTATAGAAAGTTGTAAATTAAACTTCATAGTTAAATAAATATTTAGTGGGTTGTAGTACAAAAAATATTGCATTAGGGGTTTGGGATTAGATGTAGAAATATTGCGAGTAAAAATACTGGTGGACAATAATACTTATAGACAATTTGGAGTGTAAAAAAAATTGCATGTACTAATGTTACTATGCTTACTGTATTAATGTGTATAAATAATTTATATTGTTAAGTTGGTTCATAGAATTTGTTACAAGAGAATAAAAAAATTGTTAAAGTTGTAAAAGGCAATAAAAGCAAAAATCAAAATGTTTTAAAAAATACCATAAATATGATAATCAATAAAGTATTTTGTCAGATAACAAAAAAAAAAAACAAATAAAAACAACAAAATAAACAACCAATGAAAGCTTGATCACATGCAAGCTGAAAATATTTGAAGTCAAAACTATTAATTTAAATATAGTATACGAACCTATATATCAGTATTAAACAGATACTTTCAAACAAGAAAATGAAGAGAATAGTAAAAATAATACAACTTGCAAAAAAAGAAAAGAATGGGTGTAACCTGTAATAACAAATTAACAACAATTATCAAAGACAATGTATCAGAGGTATTCAACTGATGCGAGCTATGATTAGTCATTGAAGGAAAAGTTCCTTGTGCATGTAATTACAACAAGTCTTGGAGTGTACTTGTTTGTTGGACAATTTTTGTTTAAACTGTAAGAATAATTTCTTTTCACATCCATAAGACCACTTATAACGGCACAAAACATTGATGAAATGAGCAAATTTGAAAAAAAAAGTAACATCGATGGACTAAACATAATTAAACAATAATCAAGATACGAAGCATATATAAAGAAGATATAATATTTAATCAATATCTAAATAATCTTAACTTGGTATGTTAAGTTCACGGAATTTATTAGAGCAATCAATGATTAAATCTACAAATTGATTATAGAAAAAAAACTAAAATATGAATAAGAGATTTGGACAATGCATAGTCTTTGCAAAGTTACAATGTTTATCTTCGTTTAACTTTGGAAAGTATCATGCTTTGTTTAGGTTCACCATATGCTGTCAGTCTGTGTCTATCCTCGACTAACAAATTTTTCCGTTCATTACTATTATAAATTTGATAATCTTAATTTACCTAATCTAGACATAAAATTGGTTAAGATATGAAAAGATTATAAATATATGCAAAATCAGTATAAAGTAGATAATTGAAATTATTCATTTATATAAAAAGATAGTAAAAAAACTGCTTCTATTGCAAAAGATTTAGTTGGTTAAGAAAAAGTTTGTGGTAATATTGACTCTGCAATAATGATAATTAAAATTGTTGTTGTAGCACAAAAATAGTTTTGATAATCACTAATATTTTGACATTTACTGAAATCATTCAATAAAGCAATGCCATTCATAGTCATTTACTAACCTTATCCTAAATAAAATGTGACACATTAGTTTGAAGCAATGCCATTCATAGAAAATAATTAAGCAATAAAAACAAATATCATCGAATTATAAAAATATTAAGTGTGATTAAAATTTCAACATTTTTAATACACTGTGGACAAAAAGCATGACAACTATTGTAACAATAACCTCAACATTTTTAGTAGACTGTTCATATTTATATAAATGCAAAAATTAGTAATCACAAATAAATGCAAAGATATAAATTTGATAACCTCAAATAAATGCAAAACAGCCTACTATAGTAATGACGATAGAAATAAAACAGTACTAAACAGAAGTAAAATTTGAATGGTGCATTTTATATAATGGCTAATGTGAACAAAAAGAAAAATTGAACAATACTTTGATGCATAAAGATCTCATAATTGTATCTATATACAATTTATTTGTAAGGCATATGTAGTTTTATAAGCTTTATTTATATAAGTAGTAATTAATATACAAACTTCAATGTTATTATAAATAATAAAATATCATGCATAAATATCTCAAATTGTGATTCCCATACAACCATAGAATAAGTTTGGTAGATTTACTACTTATGGAAAGAGAAAAACATAGAAATTCAAAGAATAAGTTTTATATATAGAAAATTGTAAGTACCTTTTTCTTCTACATTTATAAAAATTTGAATATTAATTATAAAAAAAAAGATATACTCATCTTAAACTTTATTCACTGAAGTGTTGCCCATGTGATGCCCTTGGATAACTTATGTAATTCTTTGAAAAAGAAAAAAAATGGAATTGTAACATTTTTATTTAATAATCATACAACTTATTTAATTATTTGAACAAAATGATAATGGAATGGTAAGATTTTTATTTAATAGTCATAGAAGGTAATGTTATAGAAAGTTGTAAATTAAACTTCATAGTTAAACAAATACTTAGTGGGTTGTAGGACAAAAAATGTTGCAGTAAGGTTTTGGGATTAGATGCAGAATATTGCAAGTAACAATACTGGTAGACAACAATACTTGTAGACAATTTGGAGTGTAAAAAAAATTACATGTACTAATGTTACTATGCTTAGTGTATTAACATGTGTAAAAAATTTGTATTGTTAAGTTAGGTTCATAGCATTTGTTATAGGAGAATTAAAAAACTATGAAAGTTGAAAAAAGTAATGGAAGCAAAAAATCAAAATGTTCTTTAACATACCATAAATATGATAATCAATAAAGTATCTTGTCAAATAACAAAAAGAACAAATAAAAACAACAAAATAAACAACTAGTGAAAGTTTGATTACATGCAAGCTGAAAATATTCAAAGTCAAAACTATTAATTTAAATCTAGTATGCAAACCTATATGTCAGGATTAAATAGATACTTTCAAACAGAAAAATAAAGAGAATAGAAAAAATAATACAACCAGTAAAACTAAAATATAAATAATAGATTTAGACAATGCATAGTCTTTGCAAAGTTGCAATGTTTATCTTCTTTTAACTTTGGAGAATATCATGTTTTTGTTTAGGTTCACCATATGCTGTCAGTCTATGTCTATACTCGATTGACAAACTTTACCGTTGATTACTATTATAAATTTGATAGTCTTACTTTACCTAATCTAGACATAAAATTGGTTAAGATATGAAGAGATTATAAATATATGCAAAATCAATGCAATTTGTATTGCAAAACAAAAGCTAAAACAAAATGCAACATAGCATCATCAAATATGAACAATCAATCCTTAGCAAAAAACATATAATCAAACGTATGCAATGATTTAAACAAAAAAAAAAAAAAAAGAAAAACCAACCAAAAGAAAACAAATCCAACACAAAAAAGAACAAGTAATAAGGAGCGGAAGATAAAACAACGGACAAAGTGAAAAAGGATTAAGCGAGAGAAGAACAATCTGGAAGAATAAAAAGGAGAAAATACCCAAAAAACCTAACAAAAACTCAAAAACCTCAAAGCACCCTTACATTTTATTTTAACTCAAAACTCAGTATCTAAAACAATCAAAATAAATTAAATAATACCAATCATGTTCAAAAATTCTTAAAACGACCAAAGCAAATTAAATAATATCAGCGTATGTCCCGGATACGTGTCAACACGGGATAGTTTTCGTGTGCGTTGTGGATTTGTAATTCTAGATTAATATTAGATATTTTTTAAAATATCTCTTTATTGTTTAAAAATAAACTAAATGAAAGCGTAGGAATCTGCTGAAGGGAAAGGTGTGCTGAGTTGTTGACCTTTGGACATTTGGCCGGCAGTTGACATAAAAGTCAGGAGGAATGCAGGAGAGGAGAGGATAGGGACGGCGGAAAGGAGAGAAGAGAGGAGGAGCAATGGAGGGAAAAGGGAAGAGAATATAAACACACAGATTATATACAAAAAGAAATAAAATTAGAGAGGGAGCTTAAAAAATCCAGCTGAGAGGCACTCGATTTGACTGCAATTGCTTCAACAAGTTGCCTTCGGTCAGCCATCAATCCATCTTCAAACGTTTTTCTCGTTTTCCTTGCAGTTCCTGCCCCGTCCTCAACTCTATCCTACCAACTCCATGCATCTCTTTCCTTCAATTCAATTTTCCAATTCCCCAGTTTATATGTTTTCAATTGCCTGGAAGAAAAAAAAAACCTTGGGTTTTGATTGCTGCACTGACTTTTCTTGTGGTTTGTGCTGTTCCGTTCGGGGCTGCGATCAACTATTCTTTGCCATTGAGCTTGGAATTGATCCTTGCTTTTTTACATAATTGAAATTTATTTATCATTATTATTGGCAGTATTTGTTTCAAACTATTCTTTTATGCTGAATGAGTAATTCAACTTGTGGTTGCAGTCGTCACAATGAGGCGTTATGTATCTAGGGTTACCGACTGGAGCATGCCCTTCGCCTCCCGGGTATCTCCTCTTCTTTACCCTTTTTTTCTAGAATACAATCAATTCGCATCATTAATTGGCAATTCTTTTAATTCTTTTAATCATGTAATAAAATAGAAAACCCAATTACAACTAGTGTTTGATTTGACAAATAGTTAATTGCTCAACTATTATCATCATTATTATTAAGCTCGGTTTTTTATTCCACCACTGAAATCTAATCTAAGACTGCTCTCGTGGGAACAATTCCATACTATTAATCAGGGGTATTGTGAAGCTGCACGAAAGACCTATGCAAGTTGCTGTGCTAAGACTATAGAGGATCCGTTGAAAGATGAGGACAAACGCAATCCAGTTTCTGATATGTTGATTGATGGGTTTGGAAGGATGCACACTTACTTGAGAATCTCTTTGACAGAACGCTGCAATCTACGATGTCACTATTGTATGCCTGCGGAGGGAGTGGAGCTTACTCCTCCTCCCCAGTTACTCTCCCACCATGAAATTCTTCGTTTGGCTAATCTCTTTGTTACTTCTGGAGTCGATAAGATTCGTCTCACTGGTGGTGAGCCCACACTTAGAAAAGATATTCAAGACATTTGCTTAAACTTGTCCGCCTTGAAAGGACTTAAGACTTTGGCAATCACCACCAATGGTATCACTCTTGCCAGAAAACTTCCAATGCTTAAACAATGTGGGGTTACTGCTCTCAATATCAGCTTAGACACACTTGTCCCTGCAAAATTTGAGTTTCTGACTAGGCGTAAGGGCCATCAGAGGGTCATGGACTCCATTAATGCTGCCATTGATTTTGGCTACAATCCTGTAAAAGTATGTCATCACCCTTCTTTTAACTCTTACAAATTTTGCACTTTTCTTCTTCTTCTTCTTATTGTTTAACTGATAACTAAATAGCATTCTCCATTGGGTCTCACACTGCTTGGTCTTAGGTCAATTGTGTTGTTATGCGTGGCCTTAATGATGATGAGATGTGTGATTTTGTCAACCTCACACGTGATAAACCCATTAACATTCGCTTCATTGAGTTCATGCCTTTTGATGGAAATGTCTGGAATGTCAAGAAACTTGTGCCATACTCGGAGATGTTGGATACAGTGGTAAGGTACAACTCTTATAGCTGATCCCGCTTGCACATTTCTTTATGCTTGCTTATACACTTCACAAGTAGCTCATTCTTCTTTCCTGTTACCAAACAGTCAAAGCAATTTCCAAGCCTAAAGAGGCTGCATGATCATCCGACAGAGACAGCCAAGAATTTCAAGATAGATGGCTACATGGGTACTGTTTCTTTCATTACATCCATGACTGAGCATTTTTGTGCTGGTTGTAATAGATTGAGACTTTTAGCTGATGGTAACTTCAAAGTATGTCTCTTCGGTCCTTCAGAGGTGAGCTTGATTACTGCTTTTCTTGATTATCTTATGGCCCACTCCTTACACAATCTGTTGCCTTTGCTTGCTGTTCATTTGCATTCTTTACCAAATTCTTCTTTTTCTTTTGTTTTTTAAAATGCACTTAAATATGTCAAACTTTGCAGCATCTTTTATTGAATAAAGTAGGCTTGGTCATTGACATGGAATTTAGATGTGTCTGAAAGTTTCATGTTTTAGCTGTTAGGGATTCGAATCATGCTAAGATGGATCATACGCAATGGAATATTATTATAATTTTAATCCTCTAAGTTATGGATAACTTTAATTGAAACTAATCTAGAAAAAACAACAAGAGAAAGATTTTGATATATTTTAAAATATGATGTCTACTTTCTTTGGTGGAATTCTCCTTAAGTTTTCGTTTTGAGTTTTGTACACAAACTAATACTTATCAAATCATAGTAGTACAATTGTTTTGCCTTTAATGATGATCTATACAGTGATTTACCAAAATCTCTTCACTAAGAGTGTGTGGATCCTTAAGTCAAAGTTTGTGCTAGCAAACTCTCAACTTTGAGCTCCCTTGTGTTTCTCTCTTTTTGGTTAGATTCTATCTCAACACGTGAAAAAATAAAACAAAACTCTTCTATATGTTCAAAAGGTAGCTAAAAGATTTTTTTATAGAGTGAATTGACCTATTTTATATTCATCAAGGATTAGAAAATATCTTGGGGTAATTGGGTTTTTATTTAATACTTCATCAAATCTTATTTGATTTAGCTCAATACTTAATTGGATTAAGTCTATATAAAATCAATTAGATTACATTTCATTGAACTTAAATTAGTTTTGACAATTCACCTTATGTGTGTGACCTATTAGGTACTCAACATGTTGGTAATAAATATAAATTAATTCAACTAACAATTTATATTTATATTTATAGATCATGAGTGGCATCTAGTAATACATTACGACCATCTAAATGTCAAGAGAGTCCATATGATTTAACTAACCATTTAGTGTACAATATCTCAATGTAATTCAATTCTTTCATCGTATATCTCGGATAGATAAAAAACTTGACGCGGTGTCTACTTTCTAACTTATCCATATTAGTCTTGCAGTTTTTACATTGACCTATCAAGATTGCATTCACCAAGAACTTTTAGTTAATATAAACCAAGAGCAAATGAGATATGTTCTTTTGAAATCACTTAGGGTGATAGAATCCTCTCTAGACTACTCATTCATTTTCGTATGTTTCATGTCATACCCAAAAGCATCCTGTTTAAGCATTTGATCGCCTCCAGATTCGTAGAGATGAAATCAAAATATGACAATTCACATACAAGATGACTTGGCATCACAAGTCTAAGGATTATTTATTCTATTGACACATTAGAGTATTTTCATAGATATTTGAGTGAAATACCAAATAAAACTCTCATAACGGGTCATATTTCATGAATTTGTTCTTTAACAAGCACCCATATACTGTCCCCAAGCATATCACATCAACTTATGAGATCAATTGCTTACTTCCAAAGTAATAAGGCTTAGTATGTACTAGCCTTTGAACATTGTCAATGTTTTTATTCTTGATAATCCAATGACCATAAACATATTTAGAAATAAGACTTTGATGCATAAGAATCTTATAATTATAACTTTTATAATTTCTTTGTAAAGCCATTATGTTCCATGGACTTTATTTATATAAGTTTCTCATAACTCTTTATAAATAAACTCATGGATATAGAAATATCTCATACTTTATATAAAATATCCATAATATGTTTAATATGCAATATGACTAATTAATGTAATGTTTTACAAGCATAAAATTGTTTAGCTTGTAGGGCATACACTAACAATCTCCCACTAGCACTAAAGCTAATCGCCCATGTACCTAATACCAAAGCTCTCCAATTGACAATCATGTTTTTGTTAGGATAGAACTTTGGTAAGAGGGTTAGCTAAGTTGTCCTCCATGGGTACTCTCTTTATATTAATATCACCTCTTTCAATAATCTCCCTCATAAAGTGATAACACCACAATACATGTTTAGATCGCTGATGAGACCTCGGTTCCTTGCGCGATGGCTCCATTGTTGTCACAGAACAAAGTTATAGGATCAACAATGCTAGGAACCAGATCAAGTTCAATTATGAACTTGATCCAAACCCCTTCCTTCGTTGTCTTAGACGTAAAGATGTATTCAGCCTTGGTTGTAAAATCTATAGTTGTTACTTGCTTGAAACATTTCCAGCTAATAGCACTGCCATTTAAGGTAAATGTAAACACACTTTGCGATTTGCTATCATCTTTATTGGATTGGAATGTACTATCTCTATATCATTTAACTTGGAGTTCAACCCATCCATAGATCAAGAAAACATCCTAAGTCCTTCGTAAGTACTTAAAGGATATTTTTCATAGCTATCTAGTGACTCTCACCTAGATTCGATTGGTATTTGCTCGTGACACTCAAAGCATACGCCACATCTGGTCTAGTACATAGCATGGCATACATGATGGATCTTATAGCCGATGCATACGGTGTCCTATCCATCCTCATCTTCTCAATCTTGTGTCTTTGGACACATATCCTTTGAGAGATGAATGCCATGTGACAGAAGCAAGTGTACTTTTTTGGACTTAGTCATATTAAACCTCTTTAACACCTTATCTATATAAGTGGATTGGGACAATCTTAGCAACCTCTTTGATCTATCTCAATAGATCCTTATTCTCAAAATATAGGCTGTTTCTCTCAAATCCTTCATGGAGGATTGTTTGGATAGCCATATCCTAATAGTTTGCAACATTGATATATCTAGTCCTATTAGTAGTATGTCATCAACACAAAGTACTAAAAATACAACTGCTTGTCCATTTACCTTCTTATCAACACATGGATCATTAGGATTCTTGAAGAAATCATATTCTTTAACAGTTTCATCAAATCTGATGTTCTAGCTTCTAGACGCTTGCTTTAGCCTATAAATGGACTTTTGGAGTTGCATACTTTATATTGATTCTTTTTAGATGTAAAACCTTAAAAGTTGTGTCATATACACTTTCTTTTGCAAATTCCCATTAAGGAATGCTGTTTTTACATCCATCTGTCATATCTCATAATCATAATATGCAGCAATAGTAAGCAAAATCCTAATAGATTTAATCATGACTTCAGGTGAGAAGGTTTCCTCATAATTGATTCTTTCAACTTGGTTATAACCTTTAGTAACCAACCTAGCCTTATACATTTGTACATTACCATCTATGTCAGTCTTTCTCTAAAAGACCCATTTGCATCCTATGGTTTTACCCTTTCAAGTGCATCAACCATAGTCCATACTTGGTTGACATGCATGGCATTCATCATAGATATCATTGCCTCCAGCCACTTATCAGAATCAATATCAGATATTGCTTCTTCATAAATAGTAGGCTTTTTGTCAATTAGTAGAGCTTCTTTTTCCAGCATAAATCTATATCTCTCTGAAAGTTGTCTTTTGTCTTGTAGATCTACGAAGCACTTGTGTTTCTTGAGCACCGGTATGAGCATCCAATGCTTTAATCGTTAGCTCAAGTTCCAAAAGGATGTTAGTTTGTGGTTCTGAAACCTCTTCAAGAATTATTTACTCCCACTAGCCCTTTCAAGTAAAAACTTTTTCCAAGAAAGTGGCATGTTTTGAGACAAAACACTTTTTGCTCGGTAGGATTATAAAAATAGTATCTTACAGTTTGTTTAGGATACCCTACAAACTTGCATTTGTCTAATCTAGCTCTAAACTTATCAGATGATGCACGTTTCACATAAGTCGTATGTCCCCAAATCCTTGTATAAGAGAAGTTTAGCCTTTTGCCATACCACATCTCATATAATGTATTATCAACCGATTTGGTTGGAACCTTGTTAAAAAGGTAAGTTGTAGTCTTTATAGCAAATCCCTAAAAGGATATCGGAAAGTTTGCCCTACTCATCATGATACGAACCATGTCTAACAAGGTTTGGTTTCTCTTTTCAGACACTCCATTATGTTGTGGAGTTCCAAGTGGAGTCCATTGTGATAGAATCTCATGTTCTGCTAGATAATCTAAAAACTCTTAACTAAGATATTCTCCTCTTTGATCTGATCTAAAAGTGTTATTTCTCAACTTTAGCCATAAACTCTTTGAACTTTTCAAAAACTTCAGACTTATACTTCATTAGGTATGCATAACCAAATCTAGAATGGTCATTTGTATACGTAATGAAATACGAATAACCTCCGTTAGCTGGTGTGTATAAGGATCCACATACATTTGAATGTATTAGCCTTAGGAGCACACCTGTTCTTTCTGCTTGTTCAGTAAAAAGAGTCTCAGTCATCTTACCAAAGAGACAACATTCACAAGTTCCATATGATTCATAATCATATGGATCTAGGTAACCTTGTTTATATATCTTGGCTATCCTTGTCTCATTGATATGACCCAAGTCTACAATGTCAGATGTAGGTTTGATTTGGATTATCTTTTCCAAGCTTCATTGACATCTATATTAAGTACTGGGCTATCAAGATGCATAACATAAAGTTCTCCATGACATGTTATGGATCCATAAAATATATCATTTAGAATGACAATGCAACAATTACCCTTTATACTAAATTTGAAATCATCATTCTTAGATAGGTATGAAACCGAAATGATGTTTTTAGTTAATGCTGGTACACAATAGCACTCTTTTAGCTCCAACACTAAACCCTGATGGTAAAATGAGATCACAAGTCCTAATGGCAACTGTTGCAATTTTTGCACTATTGCCTACTTTTAGGACTACCTCATTTATACCAAGCTTTCTACTATCTCTTCAAACTTTTATGTCAGTACGTAAATGTGATCCATATCTTGAATCTATTATCCAAGATTTAGGATATACAGTGGAAAGGTTAGGATCAATCATATTTAAAATTATTTGTTTACTTGTCAAGATTGCACTTTTTCATTTATTGAGAACTTTTCTCAAAGTGATAAACCAGTCTAAACATTTTAAGTTGATGGCATCAAGCATGCCAAGCAAAGTAGTGATTATTGTTATACCCATTCTAACAACCTATAAATATAGAAAAAGTATTTGTATTAGTCTTTCATGTTATTAACCAATTTAAGATGGGGTATTAAATCTTATATTGATTCTCCAACTAATTTTTCATAATAATAGCCTTCACTATTATACAAAAATCTCTAGTAGACATTTCTAGCAGGTTGGTACTCCTTTCGAATTATTGCAATCTTAAGTGACTAAACAAATTATAATAAGCCTAATTGTGTAGATAACTTAGCTTATCAATTGCATTCCCATGCAACTCCCAGATCAGTTAGTTGACAACTCATTGTCTATATGCATCATATGCATTCCGCCTAACCTTGTCTCTAAGATCGTGGTCAAGTGTGACACATCTAAACCACATAGTTTAATTGAGTAAAACTCACAAATAACTCTAACGTGCCCATGTAAAAATTTGACCTTAAGTGACTCAACAAGTCTTCAATTAAAAGGGTAGCTTGGTTATCTTGTTATATGATGGAAGACAACTTAATCATGCAAAGCATGTGACTCAATATTTTAATGAGGGATTTTTGTTGTTGTTTTTATCTTGTTGTTTAGGTTTCATCGAATCTGGCATCTATAGCATTTATAATGTTGCATAAAATAAATCTATCACATGCATACTACTAGGATGATTATGGTCTTTTTATCTAATCTAATTTTCTTAAGCTATCGAAGGAAATTAGTTGGTCAAATCCTAAGGGATTACATTCAAATATCATTATATCTTGTAGTCTTGTAATCTTCATGTCTCCTTGGTGTGTTCATCCTTCATTCTTGGAATTACGAAATTTTCTTCCTAATTTAATTCTATAGATTCTAATTACATATATGTAAAGAAACTTCAAGTTACATTTGAGGGTAGTAAGATGAGAAAAGAATTTTACAACTCTTGAATAGAATAGAGGAAAGGCAGGGCACACATTCCCTATTTATAAAATAAATACCAAATGCATTCAACTATAACCATCCATAACACATTATAGTGGTCTAAGTCCATAATCATCTTTATACATTCATAATCATATAATGAACATATGAAACTTATGTTTAGTTCAAATTGAAGATCTTATATATCATTTGGCAATAATATCACTGAACCTTTGAGGATCTTAATCTAAATAATTTGCTGTCTTAATTCCATAATACGTCTTGTGCTTGTTTAGAAGTTCTAGACTTACTATAAATTCAATTGAGTATAGACTTAGTAATCCTAAACCTTTTAGGACTATGAATTTAAATATGATCTTTATTCTTAACAAGAGTCCTAATCATATTAGAAATTTAATGTTCACAAGGAATCTTAATCCAATTAGGCTTTCTAATCTTATTAGAAAATTTAATCCTTATTGTCCTTAATTTTACAATCTTAGTCTAATTAGAATTGAATCCTTATGGCCAAGAGTCATATTTCTTTGCCAATTTAAGTTTAGAATTTGATTTGGGAGAATCTTAAACTCTTTAGAATATATTTTACTACAATTAGGAGTCTAAATCCAAGTCATAACCGAATTAATACAACTCCTAATTATATAGAGGAGAAATCGCACAAGCTAGTGTAATTTTATTGGGTTTGCTTCACCTATACTATCTCAAATTCTTTGGACTCCATCCTCCATTGTTTGTTGTGATTTTGACACCAATTCAGAGACATCCCATGCCTTAAACATCATGCCAAAAAGCTCTCAAAATCTCAGTAAATTTGGAGAACAAACAGTCATGATGTTGCAAAAGTTCTTGTCACATAAGAATACAATTCTAGCAAATTGTTTGTGTAGAAACATCATTAGATCACCACCTAAACAAGGTGATTAAATTCTGTAAATTTCAGAGGTTGAGATCATCCTCTTAACTTCTATCCTTCAAAAATCACACACAAACTCCTTCTCGAAGACCTTAAAAAAAATTTACAAAACAGATCACCTTTTGCGGTTAGATTTTTCATATTTAAATTCTCTTAAAACAAATCTATAAAATCTTTAAGGACTTATTAAATCTAGATTTTAAATATATAAATCAAGACTTTAAAAGCCTTTTGAAGTATCAATTAGATTTGAAAAATCCATTCAGAATTATTCTAAATTTTTTATTTCAAACTTTGCATCAAATTGATATATAAACAAAAACAATTTTTGTAATCTTCAACAACTAAACATAAAACTAGGTTAAATCAATTAAAAGAGGCTGTGATACCACTGTTAGGGATTCAAATCATGTTAAGATAGATCATACGTAACAGAATATTATTATAATTTTAATCTTTTAAGTCATGGATCACTTTAATTGAAATTAATCTAGAAAAACTAATTTTTGTAATATAAACAAAAAATTATTTTTTTGTAAATAAATTTTTGTAAAATTTTTTTTTTCAAACTTTGCATCAAATTGACATATAAATAAAAACAGTTTTTGTAATCTTCAACAACTAAACATAAAACTAGATTAAATCAATTAAAAGAGGCTATGATACCACTGTTAGGGATTCGAATCATGTTAAGATGGATCATACGTAGCAGAATATTATTATAATTTTAATCCTTTAAGTCATGGATCACTTTAATTGAAATTAATCTAAAAAAACCAATTTTGATATATCCCAAAATTTGATGTTTGCTTTCTTTGGTGGAATTTTCTTTGGGTTTTCGTTTTTGAGTTTTGTACACAAATTAAGACTTATCAAACCATAGCAGCACAATTGCCTTACATCTAACGGTGATTCATATAGTGATTTACCAAAATCTCTTCATTAAGAGTGTATGAATCCTTAAGCTAAGGTTTATGTTAGCAAATTGTCAACTTTGAGCTTCCTTGTGTTTCTCTCTCTTTGGCTATGATCTTATCTCAACACATGAGAAAATAAAACAGAATTCTTTTATTTGTTCAAGAGGCGGCTAAAGGATTTTTTTATAAAATGAATTGACCTATTTTATATCCATCTAGGATTTAAAAATATCTTGGGCTAATTGGGCCCTTATTTAATACCCCAGTAAATCATATTTGATTTAGCTCAATACTTAATTAAATTAAGCTTTTATAAAATCAATTAAATCACATCCAATTGAACTTAAATTAATTTCGACAATTCACCTTATTGTGTGACCCATCAGGTACCCAACATGTTAGCAATAAATATAAATTAATTCAATTAAGAATTTATATTTATTTTTGTATTTATAGATCATGAGCGGTATTTAGCAACATATCATGACCACTCAAATGTTAGGAGAGTCAACATGGTTTGATTAACCTTTTAGTGTACAGTATCTCAATGTAATTCAATCCTTTCATCATATATCTCGGATAGATAGAAAGCCTGGCTCGGTGTTTACTTTTTAATTTATCCATATTAGTCCTATAGTTTCTATATTGACCTATCAAGATTGCTTTGGCCAAGGACTTTTAGTCAATACAAGCCAAGAGTAAATAAGATATGCCCCTTTCAAATCACTAGGGGTGGTGAATCATCTCTAAACTATTTATTCATTTTCGCATATTTCATGTCATACCTAAAAGCACTTTGTGTAAACATTTGGTTACTTCTAGACTCGTAGAGGTGAAATCAAACCATAACAATTCACATATAAGATGGCCTAGTATCACAAGTTTAAGGATTACTTATACTATTGGCACGTGAGTATTTTCACAGACACTTGAGTAAAATATCAAATAGAACTCTCTTAATGGGTCATATTCAATGAACTTGTTTCTTAAAAAGCATCCACATACTATCCTTAAGCATCTCATATACTTTAACCTATAAAATTATTTACTTACTTCCAAAGTAAGGAGGCTTAGCGTCACAAATTACACTTTTTCGCTTAAATATGCGATAGTCTATGCGACCTTTGAAGGAACGTTTCCATTTAAGCCAGCTAATAGCTCATTTATATCTTTTCAAGCATCAACAATAGCAACAAATTAGATTAAGGCACGCACATCGAAATCATAGGGTATACTGAATGCTATATACGTAAACACTACGATCAAATAAGGAAACATGTTTTATTAATATGAAAATGAGTACAAAGGGACCAAGACACATCATTGTCGGGTCATAGGGGCAGCACTAGATGATTTGTTACAAACATACCTTTACCAGTGAGGCAGCCCAACAATCCGTCAAATGCTTACCTTCTATAAAGAGTTTATGAGATTTTACAAGTGTTCTACCAATAACTATGACAATGCTTAAAATGAAAACATTCTTTTCCTAAAAGATCTTTCGTCCTAAAGACTTAATATGTGTTTCTAGAGATATTACCACGAGCCATTATAATGTTTGAAAGGGACACATTTCCCTCACAAGTACAAAAGACTCAATCTCCTAGACAACTTTAGCTTGTCATAATCCGAGACAAGGTTGGCTCATCACACTTAGCATGTACCAACCTTTGAGCATTAGCAATGTCCTTATTCTTGACAATACAATGACTAGGAATATTTTTAAGAATAAGGCTTTGATACATAAGAATCTTATAATTACAACCTTTATAATTTCTTTGGAAGGCCATTACGTTCCAATGACTTTATCTACATAAGTCTCTCAAAACTCTTTATAAATAAATTCATGAATAAAGAAATATTTCATACATTATATACAATCTCTATAATGTATTTAACATGAAATATGACTAATTAATATAGTGTTTTACAAGCACAAAATCGATTGACTTGCAGGTTTACATTAACACTAACCCCTATTGAGTTAAGCTTTGATATGCTCTTCATTGTGTCAACATAGTGACTACACTTTTGATATTACTTATCTTTCTTACTAGTGTTGATTCTTCTCAGGTTAGCTTAAGGGATCCTCTTCGTTGTGGTGTTGGTGATGAGGAACTTAGAGAAATAATTGGAGCAGCGGTATGCATTGTACTTAATAATGCATAGCTTTCCTAATTTATTACTTAATCGTGTTTAATAATCCAATCATTACCATGCAATGTAAAATAATAGACAACTGTGTATATATAATGACCTTTTTTTCTACATGATGACTTTAGTTTAATGACTTTGTTTTAGTGTCTGTGTTTTTCTTGGGCTTTTGAGTCAGAGGCCAATGATTTTGACAATCATGCTCTTTCTTTTTCTTTGGGGTGAGGAGAGGGCAGTAGTTGAGTTTTGTAGCTTTTTTATTGTAAATGAGCGATATGGCCGGTTGATGGATCATGGTAGCATTAATTTGTGCTTAAAGTTGAAAGGAAAATTATTTTATTCTTCTTCTCTTTGCTTAACTTTTACTACATTCATTTTTTTTCTTTGGTTTAGGTTAAGAGGAAGAAGGCTTCACATGCTGGGATGTTCGAAATTTCAAAGACAGCGAATAGACCTATGATACACATCGGTGGCTAAGGTACTCAGAATCCTTGTAATGTAATAAGAGATCTGGCATCTGGATTGCTTTTGTGTGGGTCACGTTTTCAGTTCTTCCCCATTAGGGTTGAACACTTTTCTTGCTTTTCTAAAGTGCAATTTATAACAAATTTTGTTTCTTATTTTGTACTCTACTTTTTGTACAGCTCAGAGTAACATAGGATGGCCATTTCCTGTTTGAATATGGAATGGTTTTGTAGGTTAACTAATATCTATGCTCGTCTCTGACTGATAGAAGATTGCAAATTCCGTTATTCTTTTCTTCCTAACTAATAAATGTAGACTAAACCCAGACATAATAAGTCTGTTAAAAAATATTAAAAGGCGTTTGGGGTTCACAGGTGAGGTTTAGGGTATGGTTTTGGAAGATTTCCAGAGTAAATTCCGTTGCTGCAATTGGTTATTTCACCTAGTTGATTAAATGAGTTTATTGTTTGTGAAGCACTAACGTGGAGCCATGGCTGAACCAACTACAGGAAACACATAAAACGATGTGGAAATGAACTCTACAAGCAGTCAACGATGCAGGAGCCATTTGGCTGCCAAAGCATGAAAATGGAATTTCTGTCGATACTTTGGGCAGAAGAGATACTAAACTGTTGTACTAGTATTTTGATATTGCTATAGTCTCATTTTTCTTTCTTGTTTTTGATTCATTTATGCGTTTCCAAAGTAATAATTCAGGTAAGTCGTATTCTAACACCTAGATCTTTAAAGAATTATACGATTTTAAGATAATTTTCCATATCCAGTTGTCTATGAGAATGGATGAGATGTACACTCATCACTCATCTAATTATACTCTTACCTCAAACTCAAACCTTATTCTTATACTTTGTCTTTTAGTTTTAAGGTTTGTTGCGGAGAACAATATGTGTAGGACAGTTAATTTTTTTTTTTAGTAATTTTCATTATTTAAGATAAATATTTGTAGGATAATTAATTATTTATGTGGAATGCTTTTATTAGGTAAGATATTAAGTTTTATTTATATGTATGTTTTTCGTTATTTTATTATTATTCATATATAATAGTTTTAATGTTAAAAATTAAGATTTAAATGTCTTCCAAATTTGATGAATATTGATTTTTTTATGGTGTAATGGTGGAAAAAATGATGAAAAATAAAAAAAAAATAATAGTGAGTGATGTGAAAAATATTTTTAATAGATGATCCAAATAACGAAAACCAAACAACAAAAAATATTGGGTTTTACAATAAAATCTTATACACATTATTTTAGCAAGTTAGATTCTGAATGCACAATGGAGTCGAAAACCTTGTTTGCCTTCACTTTTTTTAATTGAAAACCTATTATGAAGTTTTTATAAAAAAAAATACTTATTAAAACTAAGTTAAAAATGTTTGGTAAGTTATTTAGTAAAATAAATAATATAAGTTTTAATTGTAGTTTAAATTATCATAAATGGTATTATTGTCATATTTAATCCCTTAATAAATTAAAGTGGAATAAGTCAGCTTCGAGTTTATATATGATTTAAGATCTTAAAAGTAAACAAATTTATATAAAAATGTAATAGGAATAGCTTTCAAACTTTGTATAGTAGTAATAATATTATATTTTTGTTAAACTAGCAAGCAATCGGATATGATGCTTTAATTTCCCAAAAAAGAAGAGAAAAAAATAAAACAATGTACTTGACATTATTTTTTTTTTTGGTAAAGAAAAGAGAAAACCTTTAAATAGTATTTGAATAGAGTTTTGAATTTTGGTTTTTCTTTTTTCATCTTTATATGAATAAAAAAATCTCAGATTTTGCTATTTTATTGTTATGTCTTCTATTTTTTTCTAATGATCTTTGTAGAGAGAGATTGCAATTTGCATTGGAAAATGGTGATTTGCAAAAAAAAAGGAGAAGAGAGGGGGATAGATTGAGAAAGAGAAAGGGATATTTCTTGAAAAGTTGATGTGCTTTTAAAAAAAGAGAAAAGAAAGCTCATCTCTGGAGCTTTTTTTAAGCACTGTTTTTTAAAATTTTATTCTATAAAAAAGTTATTTTTTTAAAGAGTTTCTCAAATTTCTATTTGGTATGGCTTCTGTTTTTAAAAAATAGATAAATTGAAAAAAGATAAGTCAAATAGACATTAAAACAAGTTTCTTTTCCGCCTTTACCTTAAAAAACAAATCATACTGAAGCAAAAAAAGGGTGCACTTAATCAAAGGTAAGGGCAGACGGACATATAGTGGAGGGGTGTCACATGACATTACTTAAGTACCAAAAATCCATACTAATTATACTACTTATATTAGAATTTTATGTAGTTAATGATATTAATGAAGCCATTGATTTTTTGTTAATTTTTTAAAGAATGAGATCAAAAACTCTAAGTCAGAACAGAGTTAATTATGACACCATTCAAAAAAATTTTTTTGGTCCGCTCCTAATCAGAGGTGCCTTATGTTAAGAGATGTAAAGTGCTTTTGCTATTATGTAGCTCCAACATAACATCAAACCAATCTAAAGTCAACTACTGTGAGACAAATATAATGACATATGGTTCTTGCTTTAGATTTTGAATGCATGATAGAGTCCATAATGAGGGGAAAACATGTAATCAAATTACATAATGTTGCAGAATTTAAAACTTTTTCCCCTTAAAAAGATCAATTTTTGGATTTAATAAAGGAATCCCTAGCAAAGAGGAAGAAGATAATAATGCCTTCAAACCTTGTAAGTCGATTTCATTCAGTTTCAAACCTTGAAAATTGAAGTAATATTTGTCACAAAGTTGTTCAAGTGTTTAGCTTCTAATGATGATATATAGCAATAACTAGAAAATCTCCAAGACAAAGATAGGACTAATTTAGCCTATTACTAGCTAAGGTTCAATTTTTTCACAAATTCAGTGTGAAAACCTTTACAAGGGTCTGCCTAAACATATGTATTTATAGGTCATTCCACTAATCCCAGTTAGGATTTTCATAGCTTATATGCTAGTTTATAGAATTGCCCTTATTTAATTGAATTGTTTCAATTATATTCTTGAAATTCTAATTTTTTTTGCAATTAAGTCTAACTTAATTTCCATATTAATATCTTGTTATCACACTTAATTAGTGTGATTTCTTGGGTTCTTAACATGTGGACAACAAATATAAATTGTAATTTTAATTCAATTAGGATTAGATAAATCAAACTCTTTTGCATTCACCACCAATTTCAAATTGATTAATTCACCTTTATAGGCCAATATTGACATTTAGCAATATGTCATGATCATTCAAATCTTAAGAAGAGTCAATGGTTCAACTTAATCCTTTAATGCATAGTCTTGCATTGTAATTCAATCTTTTCATTAAGAAGTATCTTGACAAGACACAGAGCATAATTTAGTGTAACTTTATTTGTCTTAAGTTATGTAGTTTTGAAACTAAGTATTAACTTTTTAATGAAATGCAAGAAATTCTTTTGCATTAAAAACTCTTTTTCTTAATCTTCATTTTGTGTTGTCAAGTTAAAATTGTACTCAGGGTGATGAGTTTTCTATTGACTTAGGGTGTGTTAGGAATTTTGAAAATATGGTGCCTTGGAAAGTAAGTATATTCTTATGCTTAATTTCATTAAATTTATAATGAAAGTACATTTTGATAATAAGATAAAGAGTCTGTTTTAAGTAAGCATTCATTATCTAGTTATTAAGGTATCATGGTCCTATTGAGATATTAAAATACATTTGTATAAAAAGTCATACATAGGAGACATGTATTTTAATTGAATCTAAAAATTGTTCACAGCCATATAATAAAGCTGATCACTTTATTGTGTTAAGGTTGTAGTGTCCAAATTACTTCCAATGAAATGAATGTGATTCACTTCAAGGAAATGATGACTCTCAAATTATCGAAATGGTTGACTTTGAGTCATGATACTATAACATGAACTGAAATCATGTGAGAATTAAATTTAAGTTTAACCGTTACTTAAATCTTGATCTCACACTTATGCATTTGCTTATAGTAAAATCGAAATCTTGATGGATAGTGGACTCGTGTTTAGTCTCCTTATAATCTTTGATTTACCATGAGCATGATCATCATAAAGTGTTGAGCTAGACTCCTTATATTGAGATTATAATCGAGATGAACATCTGGTAACATATATCTAAATAATGAAATTCATAGCATTAACATCAATTCTAATGATTTCAGAAAAATTGATGACAAATATGGACCAAGTGGATTGATGAATTAGCTATTCATCACATCTGGATACTCAAAAAATTAGATCTAAAGCATTGAGTCACTAATTGGATAAAATTTAAGATTAGGGGATAAAATTGACATAAAGGGTAAAATGGTAATTTTACCTTTTATCATTATATGGTTATGATGGTTTACAATATAAGGTTTGCAATTGGACAACTAATTATTAATATTAAGTATTAAATTATTTCTTATAATTATAGTTAATCCAATTGTGCAACCGTAAATCTATGGTGGAGTAATTTCATGGTTAATAAGATTAAATTGTTTTTAATGAGATTAAGAATAATTCTAAATTTATTGGAGCTTGGAATATCTATGTCTAAATAGATTCCCCACTTTGCTTTGTAGAATTCGACTTGTTTAAGTTGGAAGGCATGTTTTAACATGATTAATTAACTTGTGTACAAAAATGGTAGCTTTAACATATTTGTCTTAATTTAGACAACAAAACATGTTTGGTTTTAATTTAGACAAAAAAAAATATGTTTGTCTTCATTTAAGACAAGAAAAATATTTTTTTTCTGAATCTAGACAAGAAAATATATTTGTCTCAATTTAGACAAGATAAAATATTTTTGTCTTAATTAAAAATAAGAGTTGTCATAAATTAAGATAATGTTAGGAGGATTCATGCAAAATGAATCTGGACATCCATGTGGATAAAAGAGACTCCATGTTTGACTATCACTCTTTTATTTATTATTAATTCATTTTAAATAAAGATGAATAATAATAAAATAAGAGTTATTATTCGATAAGAAGTTTTATTTTATCAAGAACTTTAAATGATAATTAAAGAATTAAATTATTAATTTTTTAATTTTAATTTTGATAATTATGGAGCATGTTTTATGTTTCCATAACTCTAAATGGATAGTCAAGATCGATTTAAAAGTGTTTGATTTTGATTAAACCTTCGAGGCAATAGTTTTAATAAAAAGAGAAGAGATTGGAAGAAATGAATTAGGCGTACTTTTTCTAGAAAAAGTTTTAGCCGTCACTTCTCTCCTCCTCCTCCAAACTTTGTTATATCTTTCTTCTTTTCTCCCATTCTTGACTGACTTTTTTTTTAAAAACATAGCCATTAATTTTTAAGAAGAAAAGAAAGACAAAATCGGTTGCTATCTTATAGTTTAACATTCCACACCTTATCCACTCAAGGTTTAAGTTGAAAGTATTTTTAAGAATAAGTGGTAAACTTGTTTGGTTGAGAAATCATTTATTGGTGTGGTGGTGTCCCAAAACTAAAATCTCAAAATATAAGGTATGTTTTTGCTTAGTTAATAGATTCTTATTGTCCTTAGGATGTGATTATGTTACTTGTAATAAAAATGATGTGCGTTTCTTCTTGTGTAATCGGATTGCTTGCTTCCTTTATAAAAGAAAATTTTGAAATCCATACTTTACACAATTACGTCAATCCATTAAAATCTTACTCCAATAGGGTGATGAGTCCTCTATTGATCATTCATTTATCTCCATGTGTTTTATATTACATCTAATGTCTATCTTATTGAACATCCTTGGTTAGGATTACATAAGATAATATCCGAATATAACATTTTGTACACGACAATTTGATGATCTGAAGTCTAAGAATCACT